AACAATAATACTATAGTCTATAATAGTCCTTAAGGTTCGGATATAGTTTAAAAAAATATAACATAGACGTAATATTGGATACAGTTATTAATATTATACTTGGAGATATTATTATATTTGGAATGTTATTAAAAATTATAAATGTCGGTTATCTAATATTAATCAATATAATTTTTAAATCATTATTATAGTCCCTATATTTAAAAAATCCAATAAAAAGGAACATACTTTACTCGTTTTCAAAATAAATATCTGCTAAATAATAAATTATTGAAGAATAAAAGGGTGTGAACATGCTTGATGAATTACCCAGCTTATTTATTATTATACCCAATTATTTGTGTGGATACGTTATTTTTTGGCCAAATCAAGTTAGTTATTTTGCATTTATATGTACTAGTATACAACATGAGAACAATTTATGTAAATTTGCAATTAAATAATATGAATGTATCTAATGATAGTTTTGTCCAATTAGAGATGAATTATGAAGAAAAATCCGTTCTAAATTTTGTTTCAATATTTAAAAAAAAATAAGTTTGTTTTTGATGGTCTTACCAAATTATTACATTTTTCTTTATTATAAGTTATCTGACAACAACAGAAAAAACGAATGTCCTACATAGTAAATACAAAATACATACTTAAAAATGTAGCTACAATAACTGCTCCCTAATCCACAATTTTAAATAGGTATGTGCTAAATATTAACGTTATAGAATAACTTTTAAAGCAATACAATTAATTTTATATTTCAATTTGGCTAATCTATATTCGGCGAATGTGTATTTTCAATTAATATAACGTTATCGTTACTTTGTTAACAATCTTAGGAATATGAGATAAGTTAGTTTAGAACGGAAGTTTTAAAATGTGTTCATTTAATTTGGATTTAATTTGCACTCGTGTCGTCTTTCCGCTATTAATTTCTTCTAAGTACTTACTCGCTAAAGCTTAAGACGTAAACAAAATTTTAATTAAACGTCATCCCTGTGAAATATCTAACTTATTTTCGATATTAAAAAAAAAAAAATGTATTTACCTATACTTGAAAAGAGTATAATATTCATTTATTATGTGGGCAGTCGTGCATAATAGATTATTTTTATTATACAAATATTTATGATTCATAGATTTTCATTTTGGAGAAAAAATATCGAGTAGCGTGCTATGGTTTTTTCATCCTACTACCTTTACTAAGATAATATCTTTATTATAGTGCTTTTCTATGGACATTTTATTCACTATTCTTACCTATTCAAGAAAAAATATTACAGTTATTTTTTCATCCGCACTTCGGTGGGCCTCGGAATAAGACTTTTGAGACGACTGAGCTCCCAATTTCTGCCAATGAGTAAAACGTGACATGAAACCCATATTATCCACTGTTTATATAGGAAGGTAAAAGCGGGTCCAGAATTTTTTTTTAACAAAAGACACGAAAAAATAAGAGTTGTAACGAGAACAGATTAAAGATCGATGATAAAATTGTATTGCACACGACGACAGTGCCACCGCCGCCGTTTCATTTTATTTGATGTTTTATTCAAACAGTTACGCGCTGGTTCGTCGACATAAAGGTTGCCGGCTTTACTATTATGAACTATATATGTGGTATGGAATCGTTCTTGGCGCGCGCGTACGAAATTGGATTTGAGTCGGGCGCGGGAAAAACAAGAAAGTATATTAACTATGACTACAGACTTACTGCAGAACGTTACGCGTGTAACAGGGGGGGGGGGGGTGCTGCTGCTAGTGTAATATGAAACGTCGGCGATCGGCCGAAACACAATTTATCGGACGTTTATTGTGGGCCAGCACTTTTTATGCCGGACTCGTATTATAAGCAGCTTGATTAGCTATTTTATCAGTCCGTTTTTTATTTTGAAAATTAATGCGTTTTTAAAGTTTTTTCCATCCGAATTAGAGATTTAGAAATTAAGAATTATGTTACGTCACAACATTTTTTAAAAAAAAAAACACTTGTAAACCAATTCAAAACTTCCAAAGCTTTAGTTGAATACTATTTTATAAGACACTCAAGGAATTTTCACGGCATTATTAAGGAACTTCTTTGCGAGTTATTTTGCTTTATATGACTACTAAGAATTATTTGTCTCTCACTAAATATACGTTAGTAATGATTTAGAACATAATGTGCGTATATATTACGTTCATGACGCCTACGCCGTAACAAGAAGCCATCTTGCTGTTTCTGTAAGTCCTGTACGTCTCTTAACGATAAAAATCCCGATTAGGAAGAGGTTTACCAAAGTTGTACCATGGTAAGTGAATTTTTTTATTTTTAAAATTTTTCAATCTTCTACCGATTATCGTAATAATTATTAACAGCTTAGTTTGCCTCCATTAGGTATATTAGTAGAGTGCATTTTTTAAAACTAGTAAACTAGACGACACAAATGTCGCGCAATGAAAATATTTTGTTGCCTAGTTGACTGTATTTTTAAAGACTGGGCGACACATAATGTTTAAATGTTAATTAATTAATGAATAAATATTATATCTTTTTTGAAATTCCCTCTTATAGTTACAACTCATTGGAATTAACTTTTATCATTTATTTCTACTTTCTAGTATTCATATTTATTTTTAATGATTATGAGGGGAGATCACAAAATAATTTCATCACACTATAATTTAATATTTATTTTGAGAATATATTTTTTATCACCTATTGATACCTTAAAAAATCCACTGTATTCGTGACAAATAATAATTGTAATTCGGGTTATTGGCGTAGATCTTAGTTCCGGCGTAATAGGATGAGCGTGACATCTTTAAAACTGATCCGAAGTAATAGATTTTGATATTTGACAGATGGTAATTCCAGTGACAGACGTTTTTTGTAAGTATAAAAGTGTGAGTATACTCGCAGGTAGATGCCTACACTTTTAGTTGTGCATATTGATCAAAGTAAAAAATCAACCGATTTAGTAAAATTGACGTTTCGTTTCCACTAGATTAAGCCCGAGGTTTAACTTTTAAAATCGCGGACGTAATGGAATCCGTCATTAATCGCTTATGAATATTAGTGTGCAGCGAAATTAAATAATAACGGGCACAATAATCAAACAGAAAAACTCGTCACGTTTTATATTATTTATAAATATTCCTCATTGTGCGGTACAAATTAGTTTGGGTTTTCCGTAAACGTCACATAAATTTATTTCCACAAAATGTAAAAACCAATTAGACCTAATAATCTTTCAGATTATATTATGTTTGGTTTGATTCTAGGACAGATCGTGTGTGCAACCGAGATTTGTCAACACGAAAACCGTGAAATAAAATGACAAGTAAAGAAACACACTAATTCAATGCTGATTTTTTGTTTTGACGTCCTGTAATAAATTTCAATTGTTGAAGATTTCAATTTGTTGAAAATGTTAATTGCATAAAAAAAATTTGACATAGAAAAATTATTTAACAAGAAATAGCAATAATTACAATAATTATTAAAAAAATAGAAACAATAGAAAATTCTATACAGTAAAATGAATTATCCATAACGACGAGAAAATAATGTGCTCCGATCTGAATGTAAGACAATATTTTCGTTACATAATATATTGATATTTATGATTTTGTTACGTCAATTAAAAACTGAAGTATTACATAAAAGTGCAGTCAGTGTCCATCAGTCCCTCACTTATTAGTTATTAGTTTATTACTTATTATCCATGATACGCCTAAGCACGTCTCAAGCCATGCGATATCTATAGGTAATGAAATATGTGTCGTATAAAATAGTTATGACTTATGATTCTTTTGCAGTCAATTTCTTAGTGAACGAAATATTTTTCAGAAAAAACAATTTAGTCATTACGAGACGGGAAACAACACTTTAGAAAAAAATTTAGTGCACTAACAATCAGCCTGTCTAAATATTTATTCTCATAACTAATTAAAGACTGATAATCGATTATTATCTATAAACATTTAAGTATAGAGAAAATAATCTTCTGCAGAACGTAAATGATATTAAAAATGTACATCGTCATTTAAATGCTGAAAATAATAACTCAAGACACGGTAAGGTTAAGGAATAATAATATTATACGATATATCATACGATTCTTACCGATTATAATTATTTTCTCAAAACACATAGATTTACCTAGAAAATATTACTGTTTATAGTGATAAAAGAATCAGGTACGCGCTATATACAGTATTTCTGTAATGCTATATAAGTGCCGCCGTAATAGTGATTGAACCCCGAGGGAATAGTTTCGATCTTCGAAAAATAAACTATTTTCAACCGTACACGTTTTCGAAGGGGAGTCAGTCACAGTACGCATGAAACGTATACTAAAATGTGTATACATACTCTACACCTATCGGGTGATTCATTTAATATGTAAGACTGGTATCGTTTCAAAAACGATTAATGTCCATGAAAATATTTTTCTTGGATCATTTGAAGTGGTTAAAAATGTATTCTATAATGCTAAACATCGTCTAATTTTTGTTGTTATACCTAATTTTTTTTTAATGGCAACGTGCATTTTCAATACCTCATTCCAAAGCAGAGTATTTTTTGAAGTACTTCGATACACACATTGAATATTGGACTAGTATTTTGTGAGTTATAACTTATAAGTTATAAGTATTTAAGTATTTAAAGTTAATATTATCTGAGTGGTACAGGGCTAACTCGCCAAATGTTGGTCCACTATTCCGTTTATCGTTCATCTAAACTTAAACACTTCCACTAAATGACTTTTCCAAAATTTTATTTTTGTAGATCAAAATACAAAGAATAATTTTCTGCTTTGCCATATGCAATTATAAATGCAAGTTGCAATTCAAAAGAGTAAACAAATTTAAAAAGTATAGTGATATGATATTTTTCCAAAACGTTGTTTTGTAACGACATAGAACTGTCTAAAAGAAATATTTTCGAAACCGTTATTGTTTTCTAAATTAACTGGAGTCTTACAGTAAATAGATCACCCCGTATATTTCAGGTAATTTAGACGTTCAACATGAACACACGTACTTTGCATTATCTCGCTCCGTTATCGCCGTAGTGCGCTCATTAGTGTATACTATCGATCGTTTCCAAATAACATATTTAATATACAACGTCAAATTTAAATTAATACCAAAAATTATACAGTATTTTTTAATCACAATAAAATGGAAAAAAAACTTGATGATCTTATAAAAACTGTTACTGAACTCAAAACATCGAATGGAAAAATTATTTCATCTTTAAATTCACAAAATGAAAAATTCAACCGAATAGAAAAAAGACTTGATGATTTGTTTAGAAATTTCACTATTCTAATGGAGGAAAATCGCGATCTCAAATTAAAAATTACGAATATTGAAGAACGTATATTATGTATAGAAAATAATAAAACCCAAACCCAACATTCCTCATTTGAACACGATGTCATCGAAGAGTTAATGGATAGGCAAGTTAGATCGAATAATGTTATATTATTTAATCTACCTGAAAACGAAAATGATAATGACTTAGAAAATATTAAATATATTTTTACTGACTTAAACGAAACTATCGGAGATTTTAAGTTTTCTCGTCTTGGAAAGACAAAATCCACTATCCACGATAGACCACGACCCATAAAAATTCGTCTTAATGAGCAGTCAGATGTTTTCTCTATTTTACGAGCACAAAAAATCCTGAAAAATTCAACGAAATGGTCAAATATTCACTTCTCTTCAGACAAAACAACCAAACAGCGAAATGAAATGGCAAATCTCAGAAACACGTTACAAAGTCGCAGAGAAAAAGGTGAACAAAATTTAATTATCAAGTACGTTAAAGGTATTCCAAAAATCATTAACACTTCAAAAAACTGAAAAATACACCACCCACCAGCTTACATTTTTACTATCAAAACGTCCGTAGTTTAAATAATAAATTGTCATATTTGAAATCTCAACTCCCGTGTGCATTACATGATATTTTTATATTTACTGAAACCTGGCTAACAAATAATGTTATGTCATCAGAATTGGGTTTTCATAATTATGATATATACAGATATGATAGAACAACTCAAACAAGTATGTTATCTAGAGGCGGTGGTGTACTTATCGCTGTTCGAAATAATCTTCATTCAAAGCTTATCGTAATTGAAAATAATTCTATAGAATTATTATTTGTACTTTTAAATATTTCTAATCTCACTATTATTATTGGTTCTGTGTATATTCCAAATAAATCTAATGAAAATGTATATAATTCTTATTTTGATTATATCGAATCATTGTATAAAAAATACCAAAATGCTATTTTCTTACTGTTTGGAGACTTTAACTTACCGTCAGCAAATTTTTCAAACGTATACTCCTATTTTGATGATAAATTAGCATTTTTAAATCTGTCTCAATTAAATTGTATAAAACATAATAAAAATAATATCCTGGATTACGTCTTAACAAATTCTACCACTACTGATGTCGATTTATGTATTAATCCAATTATGCCTATTGATATATATCACCCTCCAATAACTGTTACTTTTACACATCATATTACAAATTATCTATCTTGTTATGATTACACGTATAATTGGCGTGCAGGTAATTACATTTCAATTATTAAATATCTAGGAAATGTTGATTTTATAGAATATTTTAATAAAAATAGCATCGAAAACTGTTTAAATTTATTTTATTATCATATTCGTTATATTATGGATCACTTTATTCCTAAAATTCAAATTCGCGAATCCGAATATCCGAAATGGTTTAGTAAGGAACTAAGAACTCTTATAAAACAAAAAAAAATTGCTCATAATATTTATAAGTACTCAAACAACATAACAAATTATCAGAAATTTTCTAATCTTCGAACCAAATGTAAGCACTTGAGGCATCGTGATTATACATTACACATACAAATTTCACAGAATGCGGTTAAATCAAATCCAAAATTGTTTTGGAAATTTGTAAATGAAAATAATAAAAATAGTCACAAATTACCAAACACTATGTCATACCTAGATAAAGAAGTTAATAATGGTAATGATATTGTTAATTTATTTAAAGAATACTTCTCTAATACATACATCACAAACGATATAACCTGCCCAGAAATTAATTTAAAACAAAATAATATCGAAACAATTAATAAAATTGAATTAAAACAGATAGACATTTTCAATGAACTTTGGAATATTAGTTATAAAACAGCAATTGGTCCTGATGAAATTTCGCCATTATTTTTAAAGAAGTGTGCATTCATTCTCACTCCAGCTATAACCTCTTTATTTAATAAGTCATTGTTATCAGGTATCTTTCCAGAACAATGGAAATCCTCATATATAACCCCGATTTTCAAAAAAGGCAACAGATGTTTAATAAACAATTATCGTCCTATATCTAAATTGTCAATAATACCTAAATTATTTTCAAAATTGGTGAATAATATTATCACACCTTTATGCAATAAATTATTATCAAATGACCAACATGGATTTAGGAAAAATAGATCAACAATAACAAATTTGTGCATATTTAAACACGCAATCTTGGATTCTTTTGAAATGCAATCACAAACTGATGTCATATATACCGATATGGAAAAAGCCTTCGATAGGGTTAATCATAAATTATTAATAAATAAATTGAAAACGTATGGATTCACTGAACCACTTCTTTCTTGGTTTTATTCTTTCATCTCTGGACGCACCCAAATTGTAAAATATAAAAATTATGTCTCTGAACAAATTCTCGTTACTTCCGGTGTCCCCCAAGGAGACCATTTATCCCCAATATTATTTTGCCTTTTTATAAATGATATATCAGATGTAATTACTCATTCTAAAATATTATTATTAGCTGATGATGCAAAAATATTCAAAAATATTAGTTGCACAAAAGACGCTATTGAACTACAATTAGATTTAAATAATATGTATAAATGGTGCCAGCAAAATGCTATGCACTTAAATTTAAAAAAATGTTTCTATATTACATTTTCTTTAAAAAGACAACCTATTCAGTTAAATTATTCGTTGGGTAATATAAATTTATTAAAAGTTTCTACAGTACACGATCTTGGAGTAAAATTTGACTCCAAACTATCTTTTAAGGACCATATACTTTATATTAGAAATAAAGCGTCGAAAAAGCTAGGTTTTTTAAAACGAACATGTCGAAACTTTAGAGATGAATCTGCGTTAAAAACATTATACTACTCACTAATCCGTTCACATTTTGACTATGCACTCCTAATCTGGCATCCATATTTAGTAACGCAAATCCAAGATTTAAACAAAATTCAAAATAATTTTATCAGATTTTTATGCTATCAATGTTTTGTTTATAGAGCACCCCATTCTGATTATAATGTTACAATCCAGTTTTTTAATATGCAATCACTAGAACAAAGATTTATGCAAATTAAATCAAAATTTTTATTCAAATTATTAAATAATATGATTGATTGTCCGGAATTACTACAAAATATAAATTTTAAAATAAATTCAATAAACCACCGATCTGTAAATTTATTCTACATAAAACATTCAGCTACAAACTATATGCGAAATTCTCCATCAAATATTTTAATGTCCACAGGCAACTCTATAAAAAATATTGATTTTTTTGATAATTCTCTAAATACTTTTATGTCAAATGTTCTAAGAAATACATAACAAATTAGGTACTAGAAAAAAATTAATATCTCGTTTTTTTATTTCATTGTATTTTTTTATTATAGAAATTTAAATATTTAAATATTTATTGTATGATATTAATACCTATTTGCTCTTTAAATTTTAAGTTATTTTTATTATTATTATAATTATCATTGTTATTAAAATTATTGTTATATATAACTCATTTACTGTTAATGTACGTGTACAATATATTATATATATATATTATATTATGAAAAAAAAAAAAAAAAAAACTGTAATTGGAATTTATTTCCGTAATAAAGAAAAGAAATATTGTGTTTGGCACGCGGTCAGCAGTAGGGGTCGTTACCGAAATATCTCTGGAGACCGTCAAATGCGCGTTTTCGGACGATCCGGTCTCGACATTTTCCGTGCAATTCACAAGCCATCGTTTAATACTGGCGGCCGCGTGTTCAGTATTATAATAATATTAGTATTCCTACCCCGCGAAAGCCTCGGCCACACGCTCACGGTCGCCGCCCGGGGAGAAAAAACCCTCAACACCTGTGGGCGGAGGGGCGGAGAGGGAACAACCCGCATTTAAGACGCGCGGAATTGATTGATGGGCTGGTTAATTGGTTTTGCCAGTACATAATTATATAATACGCAATATGATTATATTAAGTGCCACGCTTATTGTTGCGATGTTTATTATAATAATATGCGATTCGTACCCGGTCGTAATATTGTTTAGTATAGGTGTATCATAACATGACAAATGCGCTTGGCTGAAGAGTACTTTGCGTAGTTCGTCGGTCGCGCCGTGGCAGCCGGTCAATGTTAATGTCTTTCCATCTCTCAAATTTATTAGGAAATGTAATTTCGATTATTCAAATATTATGCGTTCGTATTATAAATCGGGTCCGACGTCTGCTCGTGTTCGGACAACTTAATCGAAATCCACCGTGGCGTCCGTCCCCATTTGCATATTAATATAGGTAATACTACGTTCGATGTTCCCATTATGGTAAGGTTCGTTCTAATTTTTGGACAATGATAACAATACATGGGCGCTGAAGCAATGGCATTACTGAAAAAAATCGTAATTCCTATGCGGTACATTATATAATATGTTATACACTTATATTTATTGTAATAATCGTGGTTAGAATATTTAGAAAACAGATATGCTTAAAAAGTAATACTTAAAAGTAATACCATATTGAGAAATACATTAAATTTGACTGCACAAAAAAAGGCCAAAGACTCTATCCTCTGCCTGCTGTAAATACACCGCTGTGTAATATAATGAGTGTTCTCTACATTTCATTTTATTGTTTAAGACATTCCCATATAATATTATGTACCTGACAGTAGCGTTACTTGCTGTTATTTACTTTACTTTTTTTTTTTTTACAAGTGTCTCAAATTTTACTTTATGACAAATAAATAACCATTTCGCTAAAAATGTTAATTAGATCGAGTTAATTAAATCCAAATTATGATAGTTAAATTTAATGTTGAAAAAAAATCGCTTTTTTTTCAAAGAGAACGAAAAACTCCTACACATTTCAGAGGACGGATAAGATAAGTTAAGTTTATTCAAACAAACAAACAACGTATTTATGGTGGATTGAATGAAAATATGGGTTGCATAATACTTTTCAGTATCTACCTAATTGTTTACACCGCCGATTAGTTCCCCAAAAGTACAAACAAATGCACTTAAAAAACTGTAATACCATCACGTGAAATCCAGAACAACTAAATTACACAACGCGTGGTTGATTTCGCCCGTAAAAAAAATGTAATAAATATATACTAAAATATTTATAAAGAATAGGGAATGTCCAACAACGATGAATCGGCTTATATGCGTATAGTATATTTACATTACAGTATGTGCACACATATTTTATCATTATTTTCTACTGTATTCCAACGTTAACGACGTGCAGCATCAATTCACACGTATAATATTGGTATACCTACATTATATTTGGATTCACTTCGCGGCCTTCTCCTTTATTATACAGATTAAAAATGAAAAAAAAAATGCCAAATGTTTGAATTTATTTCTACGTTTGGGGTGTATAGTTGCGCATTTATTATAACTTTTGATCAGCCATTTATTACGACCACGAGCACGAGTTTTAACATAACAATTTATAACGTTGAATTTACCATATTTAAATTAAACGGCGTTTGTATAATACTGCTCCGTAACCATGAACCTCATAGTACACTACGTAT